TCCGGGAGCAGGCGCCCCACTCGCGCAGGGCCCACTCGGCCGCGGCCGTTTCCTGGATGGCGTTGAAGGAGGAGGCGGGGCGGCGCGGCGCCGGGCGGGGGGCGAAGTAGCTGTACTTGACGCGGGGCCGGGGGGCCTCGCCCACCGACAGCACCTGGATGGTGATGGGCTCGGCTAGCGGGCCGAAGCTGCGGATGCGCTCCAGCACGGCCGACGAGCCGCTGTAGCGCAGCAGGGAGCCCCGCAGGGAGATGTCCGTCTCCAGCGTGGTCAGCGTGTACTCGCCGTTCAGAGCGTACGAGCCGTCCTGCCGGCGGATGGCCAGGTAGCTGCTGTCGTGCCGCCCGCCCCCTGCCCCGCGCTGCTTGACGTCGATGTGGGTGGCCCCGGCGGGGATGGTCACCACGTCCTGATAGCCCGGCCTGAGAGACAGAGAGAAGGGGGCGTCGGATGGCTGAGTTACACACACACGCAGATGACCCATGTATCGTGTCATGTGTGTGTCTGCCGTGTCTGGGATTGTACCATCTCCATCGGGCGCTGACGACGTGCCGGTGGTTCAGTGGTAGAATTCCCGACTGCCACATGAAACATCTGAGCTAGATTCCCGGCACCTAGGGGCTAATCTTTCTCTAACAATAAAATATATCTCTATTTTTCTACCATCTCCATCAGGAAGCTGCAGGAAATCTGCAAGTCGATGGTGGAATAATTTTGGTGCAGGCAACTTAGTTGGTCAATTAGTGGATCACCCATTCACTTATTCGATTAACGAGCCGGATGTGCCGAAGGACCTGCGCTAGACCCGGGGTATGTGGGTAGCGGGCTCTGGGCAGAGGGAACTCACTTTGCACGGTCCAGTGACCCCGTGACCTTCTTGCAGGAGGAGCCGTCTCCCCCGCAGACGCCGCACTTGTCGAACCGCTTGCTGGAGCCGATGATGCGGTCGCAGCCGGCCTTCACGCACTGACCCTGCACGCACACCGAGGTGGAGTCCGGGCTGCAGGGTGTGCCGTCAGCCACCTGGGGCAGCAGAGAGCAACAGCAGACGTGTCAGCAAGGCAGGAACTGCAAGGGCACTGCAGACTGGCAACAGAGTGTCTGCGAGAGAGTGTCGGTGGAGAGGAGTGTGCTCAG